ATTTCAATGTAAAATTCATAACATGCGATTATTGGCTCCCCAAATTATTTTAGAGCAAAAATGTATTTAGGTTGTTTGTAGAAAAAAATTTTTTACGTCACTCAGTCGTATTAGTTTTAAATTTTTTGCATAATAAAGACGGAAATTGGAAAAATAAAATCCCCATCTTTTTCAATAATCTGTGATGCCATGGAATTTTATAATACAAAAACTACGCCAATATCCGTCACGCCATGGAATGTCTGCTATAAAACAAATCAAATTCTATTAAAAAGTATTATATTTAGAACAGCGAATTCAAGACCAAATTACTAAAAACGGTTTCCTAATAATAACAATTTACAATAAATGTTCGAATACGTCTCCATTAACTGCAATACAGTAACCAAGTCCATCATAAAATCAATTTCGAACTGTTGCTAATTGATAACTGGATATCTTTTTGTTTTAGAAAATTCCATGGCATCGCAGATTATTGAAAAAGATGCAGGTTTTATTTTTTCAATTTTCCGTTTTTATATGAAACAAAATTGAAAACTAATGCGGTTGATTGGCGTAAAACCTAATACATTTTTGCTCTAAAATAATTTGGGGAGCCAATACACGCATGTTATGAATTTTACATTGAAATCCCTATGATGCGTTACGCAAGTCACCACCCTGTATAGGTAACAAAAATGCATCAAATTCAAGTCATTGAGATAATGCTCTTCGTTTTTTCCCCAACGATCTTGGTGCATGAATAACGATTTTGAAATGTTTTGATCAAAATCCAATTGGCCTCAGAAAAAGAATTCAACATCTTTGTATCACACACGCGCTTATCAAATGTGCACGTGATGTACTCTTTTAGCATCAAGATAATCCCTTTGAAAGCTTTTACAACTCCAAATTCGTATTTAAAGAATAATTTTGGGTACATTTTGCTCTAACACTTTTGACCTAGACCACAGAGAAGAGTTATATTGAATTATTAAAGATCTACGAGTCATAGGGAATAATCTATCGAAAGTCCGAACTCGATACATGACCTAGGGAATGAAATATGTTGATACCTATTATATTGAACCCGCAGTTTTTCCTGTTCCTGATTTACTCGAAGTCATATAACTTTTGTTTCTGTTGAGCCAGCTTCCTGAAAATCAATAGCGTGAAGTGTCCGTCCTTAATGTCCAAAGTACTCGTACACCAAATTTCAACATAATCGGTCACATTTAAAAAGAGTTATAACGCACACGGACGGACGGACGACAATACAAACGTATAAAGGATCTGATGAGGATCCTTAATAAATACAGTACAAAATAAAAAGAAACTAAACATTATAATATTAAATGTCAATCAAATCAAATAGATATCAAATTAGTGTATTTGCGGTGTTTTTCTGCATGTGTTGTTATTATTATTATTTAATGTTTTTCTCGCTTAAAGCGGTTAACTCACTCATGACGGGTAATTACCAAGTCAAAGGTAAGTATGTTAATTATTCTAAAAATTTCCTGGTTATGGAAGCTGTTTTTAACAGGACTGCCTTTTGTATGATTGTATATGGGTGAATGTCGAGATTTTTCAGATGCTGCAGGAAATGTTTATTGGTAACTCCAGTAACTGACACGATAAGAGGTACTATTGTTACTTTGTGTTGTTGCCATAATTCTTTTACCTCGATGGCCAATGGTAAGTGTTTTGTAATTTTCTTTTGTTCTTTAGTTCTTACATTTGTGTCGTTTGGTATTGCAATTTCTATTAGAAATGTTTCGTGACGTATTTTGTTTATCACTGTAATGTCGATTACTACTGACTGTCGTATGTGTGTGTATACTGTCCTGTCCCAATAAAGTTTGTGTGTTTCGTTTCAAGTACGTTATGTGTAATATGGCATCTTTGATTCTATAAGTTTGCGTTATTGTATGCTAGTTCTTAGTGTATGATTCTAGCAGCGATGTCGTGCCTTTCGGTGTATTCTGTACCCGCTAGTAGTCTACATCCTCCTGTTATATGGTCGATGGTCTCGGTAACTTGTTGGCATTTTCTGCACGTAGGTATCTGTCTCTATTGGTTCTTTGGTAATGTACTTTCTGCAATTACGTGTTGCTACGACGTTATCTTGGATGACTAATATGAATTCTTCGGTTTCAGGAAATAATTGACCCTTTTTAAGCCATCAATGCTTCCCGTGTAGCGCTTTTTTTGACCATTCTTCCTTTTTTTTGTGTTTCTGTCGGTGAATGTTGCTGTTGTGTATTTCTTTGGCATAGATTTAGGGGTATGTATTGTTTGTCTGATTGTATGAATGTCTAAAAGTCCTCTTCCTCCATCACTTCTACTGATTGTAATGGGTTCTATGCATGAGTTGGGATGTACTATGCGATCAAAAATGAGTGGCTGTCGAGTCACCTTTGGAATTTTTGTTTGCATGTGAAATCGTATTTAATTTGAACTTCCAAAGGCGACTCGACAGCAACTCATTTTTAATCGCCCGTTAGCTTTCGATGTTTGGTGAGGTGCGTCCTGTTTAACCTGTTAAATTCGTCTATTTCTGTCTGTGACCATTTGATTAGTCCGAAACTACACGTAATGGCCGGTATCGCGTATGTGTTTATCGCCTTAAAAAGGTTCTTGGAGTTAAGTTTGGACTTTATCAGAAGTGTTAGTCTGTGTTTGTATCTTCCTTTCAATTGTAGTTTTATTTGTGTATGGTTGATACATGTGTTTTGTTCAAAACCAAGATACTTGTACGTTTCTTCTGGTCGTAGGGTGGTAAGTATTTCGCTTTTGAGGGTATGTGGTTGTTGTTCTCTGTCATATTTCCCTTTTTCACAATACAGCAGTTTAAACTTGTTCATGCCAAATTCGATTGTAAATTCTTCAATGATGTTTAAGAATGTGTACTTTATTGTCTGCATATAGCTTTATGTCGTCCATGTAGAGCAAGTGGTTTATTGTATGGAGTATTGTCTTCTGACGTTTGATTTTGAATTCGTATGTCGCGTCATTAAGTATGTTACATAGCGGGTTGAGGCATAAACAGAACCACAGGGTGCCGCCTTGAAATATTCCCCTGTTAATTTTGATAGCGTTTGTTTGTAAGGTGGCAGTGGTGTTGTAGATATTTGTTTTTTTGTAAATACAGTAGCCAACTGTGCGGAATGTAGGCAAAGATCCATGTAGTCGATGTAACATGTGTACCAGAAATGATGTATGCTTTCAATTTGTGCGCTTTCCTTAGGCACTGGGCAAGGTCTTCTTCTGTAATGTCATGATCTGTCTGTTGTGGTAGGTTTTTTGTCTGTCTTCTTCTGTGCGTACCCCTGTTGATGTTAAATATGTGTTTCAGTTTGGACCATAAATTTTTCCAAAAGTCCTGAATACTTTTGCTGGTTGGTAGGGTGAATTCTTTATTTTCGTTGTGGTTGTTCTCTAGATTTTTGTAAATTGCTTTTGATTTCTGTTGAAAAGTCTGTTTTGCAATTTTGTTTCTTCTGATTCCTTGTATCTTCCGAGTCTTGTCGCACCTCTAATAAAGTATTATGCGGGTCACTCTGTAATTGGGCGCAAGCCTGCTGAGGGCCTAGAACACGAGAGGTATAATAAATAAATTAAATTAATAAAAGAATATACTGCCAATTTCTGTTTTAACGTGTCTAATGCTTCTATAGGTGCTTCCTTTTCGTTTTGTACTACATTTCCTACGCGTTTGAGTAAATTATTACTATTAAATTATTATTATTTATTAATCCATTTGAAGACTGTCAGAAATTCATTGTTAATTAATTGTAAATAAATCAATCACGTAATTGTAGTTTGGATAACTAGATAACGTAAATCATTGTAAAACGAAAATTCGAAAAGGATATGGGGTTTAAGCGCAAAGTTTAATCCGGACAGACAAAACCCACTACGAAAGATCCAAGCGCTCGCCATTTGGTATTGGGTGGTGTTAAAAAATAAGACGAAAGAAATTGACAATTGCGTTCAGTGGGTGTACTGTGCACTGTAAAAGTAAATGTTTCAGTCTACTACATTCACTTTATTAACGAGCTCCTAGCGAGTTCATAATTTTGAAATCTCTGTCCGTCTATACGTTAGCACGATAGCTCGAAAACGAGTGGACCGATGACGATGACATTTTGCAGGTGGACTTTATCAAATTTGTAGATAAAAAATAAGGAAGGTCCTTTTGACATCTCTATTACTATTAGTTATGAACCGAATTGAAATTCAAAATGAGCTATACTCATAGTCATATAATACGCAATATCAAGCAGCCATACTCAGGATCTCGTTTGCTATATTTGTTTAATTTATTAATATTTAAATCAATAATAATGTCTACCTGTTACAGCACTCATCTCGTTAGTTGAAACATTATGAGTTATGCAATTGAAATAAAATTAGCTCATTCCTATTTTTATTAACAAACATCAAACTCCCTCAATTTGCTGAGATTTTAATTTGTATTGTATTTCTGTGCTCCTTCGTGAGGACTAATACGTAGGTACCATTATAGTAATAATACCATGGAAATGGTTTCGTCACATTCCAACAACGAATTGCTAATATTAATATTCGTCATTAATTTTGAATTAGGTAAATAAAATGGGTTATGCGGCAACGGAGTTCTGACTACGTTATACAAATGTGTAATTGCGACTTGCCAGAGATAAACTTTAATGTAGGTATATTAGATTTAGCAACGTAACGCTGTTTTAAGCACTGTACCGCGAAAGTCGAGTTTGAACGGTTTATGTAACTGTAACTGTCTTCGTCTTTATGCTGTCATTGTAACAAAACAACTTTATAATGCAAGTATGTTTGTAATAATGTAGTTCTGCATTGCCTTATGCAAATGACGCAGTTCATAAACAAGGTGACAATTACTCACGTTTGATTTGCACTGATAGGAGCCGCGACCGTTACTTACTATTTAACTTCGTATCGTCAACATAGATACCATCATTTCTAATAGTTAGACTTATGTTTTTTCTTTTATGTTGCAGCAACAGAAGTTTTTAAAACGCTCTGCCGAAGACCACGACTCAGGAGTGCCCAACGATGGTTTTGAACCACCGGTGAAGCTGCAATGCACCACGCAACACGGTACCACCGCTCATCAACCCGAGGGCCTCACTAAATTCTCTGTCGAAATTGTTCAACAGTTGGAATTCACAACTTCCGCAGCTAATTCTCAGCCCCAACAAATATCGACGAATGTAACGGTGAAGGCTCTAACAAACGCCTCGGTGAAGAGTGATGTATCGTCGCCCAAATCTTCTAATCCTTCAACGCCCGCATCAAATATAAGGCCAAGTTCGGGCGTTGGCAGTAGTGTAGATATCGGTACGTTAGTCGAGTGCGTAAAGCAAGAACCTGACAACGATTTCGCGGATTTAGACCAATGTGCCGCGGCGTTAGAAAAAGATGCCGCCGTTAACGGTGGCTCCGCGTTCGGTAGTTTCCCGGATCTCATCGGCGAGGATCCTGACGATGAAATTATAACATCGGACGCCTTTAAGGATCTCATTTCCGATATTAGCAATTATCCAGAGTTTATGAAAGACTTTGATTTTGATGAAAGCAAAACGGAAACGTGTTTAATTATCAACGGTTTGAAAGTAGAGGAATCCAAAGAACTGACACAAAATGTACTGGACCATACCAAAAATACCCATAGTCCTCTATTACAAAATCAAAACTACTCCCCCCCGATCTTCGAAGGTCAGGGGAACATATCCAAAAGTCGTATGTCGTATTCCAACATCGATTTTGGAAAGACTGAACTTAGTCCAGCCGCTCAAACCTTAAAGCAGATGGCCGAACAGCACCAGCATAAAAACCAAATGGGCCTTTCATTCAATCCAAACACGAGGGTGCCGAATCCCCGTTCACCGTATCCCGACTTTCAATTTCAAGGAGACTATGGCAGTCCTACCTCAAATTCTAGTTATAAAAATAGTCCGAGTTTTCAACCTGAAATAATTAAACAGGAAATGATATATCAGGGAAATGAATACGACATGAAACGTAAAGGGGCGGGTATGTACAAGCAACAGTATTCACCTTACGGAAGTCCTAGCGCGAGTGGCCATGGCAGTCCAGGTTATCTTCCCAGGAATAGCGGAGGAGGAGGGTCAACGCCCGGAAGCGGCGCATTTGGTGGTGGAACGCCGCCGAGGCCATCATCAGGACCCGGTGGAAACGGATCTGGCACAACGTTACAAATAAACCAAGCACAGCAATTGCATATCAGTCAGCAGGGACAAGGACATTCAATCCAGGTTGGTGGTTTTTCTTTAATAACTAACATTCAACAGTGTTTTCAAATTCTTTAAATAATATAATAGTCAAGATTTCACTGTAATACCCGAGGTAATACCTAAACATAAATCATCCTGTTAACCTATTATCAAAGCTCTTATGAACAACGCCTTCACTTAGTTTCGCCCGTTCCCGCTAGTTATCGTCTCCCGGTCGCGTTGTTTTAACATCATTTTATTCATTTCACAGCTTCTAATGGACTGATCTTACTAATCATTTATTGAATTTATTTGTTGCTCATCCAATCATACACGACGGCGACTGTGAAACCGTTATTATACTGTAATTAAGGGTTGTTAGAGAGAACCATAATATGGTAGTGAGTGTAATTCACTCGCCAAAATTTCTTTAAGACTGATCTCACAGTCGAACGAAGTTTCACAGGGGAATGAGGAGTGCATAATATGGTTTATATGTGGGCTGTCCTTATGCACTCGTAAGCAACACGACACGCCGCGGTTCTGTTCGATCATGCATCTTGAGTTTAAATTTTCATGAGCAGAGACGGCTTCAGGACACGTATAAAGCGCACAATCCAATTCAACAAAATCCAGTATGTGTGGAACATTGTGGGTTTGTTTATTAACGCACATATTTAAAATTCATTATCGGGGCATGTTGACAACCTAACAATATTTTTACCGAATTTGCAATTATTATACAGTTTGATTTATATTAAAAGTTGCATTTTTAAAATTGAATCCGCTGTATATTATTACATATATGAATTCCTTGCTCAATTTTAATATTATACATGATATCTAAAATTAATCGTTTACCCGCAATTAGTCATTTTTTAAAAAGTAGATGGCCAGTAAAAATTGAATAGTTATCATAATTATCATAAAACTTTTAAGTCCGTGACTTTGTAGTGTTAGTAATCATAAATGTACTAATGGTCAAAGTTACACCTTTTCTGTGTTAAAAATCACTTTTCCAAATTTGACTCACAAGCTATCTTGGTTTTGTTAACTGGAACTACCAAGTTTTTTTTTCATTGCATCAAATGTAAGATTTGGTTTGTTAGTTTGGTTCATTAGCGTTGTTGATTAGTTAATTTATTAGAAAAATGGAATTTGAAAAAAGTGATTTAAACGGTGCTTTTTACTTGTTTACTATAAATATTTAAGTACTTTTTGATGGTCTTCAAAATGTTTCGGTGCACACAAAAGAAGAAATGTGGTTTCACCGCGATGGAGATTCACCTCATTTTGCCTAAACGTTAAAGAATGACTAAATCAATAATATTCTGCGAGGTGGATACTTTGAGGGGGTTGAAGTGTTTCTGAGTCTCTTTTGTTTTGTTTTGTTTGCAGGAAAATGTTTTATAATTTGAATTGGTGTTCATAATTTTTAACGGCCTACTAATTACTGAGAGCTTTTGAAAATCGAAAAGCACTATGAATTATATTAGAAATTGTTGAATTACAAAAAATATATAAAAGGTAGGTAAATACCGACATGCTTATTATATCGTTGGAAAGGTAATCAAATACTACAATTGATGCAATAAAAAAAGTAGTAGTTCTTTTCATAAAAATCAAGTTACCTTTGATTGAAATTTTGAACATTGACGCAGTGATTTCATTTAACACAAAAAAATTTAACATTGACCGTTCGGCGAATGGTAGTACATTTCATGCAGTCCCGGTCTTTTAATCTCATTGTTACTTCACATCTACTTTTTCAAAATTTTAGATATCATGCATAATACATACAAATTGACCAAGGTATCAAAATCTGCAACAACTATTTAAAAAAAATTTTGATATAAATCAAAGTGTATAACAATAGCAAATTCGGTGAAAATATTTTTAGGCTGTAGCCGCGTTGATAAACCCGCAATCTTCCACCTACGCACTAATGGCCCACCCTGTATGCAAATTTCTAGCAACTTTTGTTTAAAATAATATACAAGAACGTTGGTATGATTACACGTCTTTGGATATTACCTTGCAAACCTTTTTTCATTTTATCTTTCCGAATAAATTGACGGACATGTCTATTTCATCTCAACATAACGGGCGATCAAAGATGAGTTGCTGTCGATTTGTCTTTGGAAGTTCAAGTTTAATACGATTTCCCATGTAAACAAAAGTTCCAAAGGTGACTCGACAGCAACTCATTTTTGATCGCACAGTATTATACTGAAATTAATGCGCACCAACATCAATAACTTGACTTTTCGGAATAACTGATACAAGAATTTACGCATTCTTTCGAAGTATGAGCATTATCTTTCTTCTAAGTAAAGGTTACAATATAAATGTGGGTCCGTTAGCCCCCCCCCCCCATTAGCCCAAAAATCAACCAATTTTTTTCTGTCTACTGTGGTCCAATTGTGCTCTATTGGGTATTTATATGACTTTTTTGGGTTTAGAAATAATTCGAAAATTAATGGGGGCGAGGTGAACGTCCCCAAAAATACTAAACTTCATTATACTCAAAACTCGTGCGGGTGCCTTTTATAAACCTACCAATATCTAGATGAAGCGAGTTTAGATAAGACTAGATAAAGAGCCTTCGGGAGTACTGCATTAGCTTCGTACTATTGAGTTATTCCTGCATCGCTTAGTTTGAAAACTAAAGGTGATGCCGAAGTTGATAATCCATCAATTTTATTTAAACGCCGGCTTTTATAATTCTATCAAAAGTATTTGAATACTTCACTCAAATGATTGAAAAATTAAAAAGATTATCCATCATCATCATGATCACTTGATGTCATTTTGGGTGATTACATTTAGTAGCCTATTACGGTGTTAGTTTTATCATATCGTGGTGCAGTGGCTTGAAACAATATAGGTTATCATCACATCTCGAAATTCGATACAGTCGAATACCGAATGATCCTCGAGCTCATATTCAATAGCATTGATCTTTGAACTCATAGAAATAGATTGGTGATGGTTTCACAGACGGGCGGACAAAACCATCACATAAGGGGAATTTCTGTCGAATAATATTTAAATCCTTCTGATAGTATTTAAATACTTTCCATTGAATACTTAAAAAAAAATATTTAAATAGTTCTCAAAGTATTTGAATAACTTGAAAAGTAGGTAGTTGAATTGTTGGTGAAGTATTAGAATACTTTGCGAAATATGCGAATTGTTTGCAAAGTATTTGAACACTAAAAAATATATGTTAAAGTATTTTAGTTGAGAATACAAATACTGCTTCCATAAAAGTACCTATTTAATTACAAAGTATTTGAATATACACTCGAAAGTAATTGAATACTACACAGTATTTACAACGTGGAATACTGCCTAGCTCTGATTGTACGTTACAATTTTCATTCTATATGACAAATGTTTTTTTATGTATCTACCTTTCAATTGGAGTCAGACCATTTTAGTTTTTATTTTTTATTTGCTACAGTATGTAGCTGCATTTGTGAACATGATTTGATGGACAGGAAACTCAACTAAAATTACTATTAGTACTTTAGTCAATCGCTTGTGGGACTGGTTTATTACTTATGTTTATAATGACAGCTTAAAAATATTTTTGTTGCATAGCGTGGAATTTTAAAAAAGCTGCTTCATTGGAAGTTATAAAATGGGTAAACTAAACTAACTGCTAATTATTTCTATTTTTAATTCAATTTTATGGGCACTATCCAGACTATCCTTGCCTGGAGTGAAGTGTTCTCAATTTGCACTTAAATCATTAAATGAAGGCATTTTGAACTAAAATTGTTAATCCTTTTGCAAGTAGTCTCTGATTTAGAATTGACAGACGAAATATTCCTTCCCAGAAAATGATCTTAATACGGCCAGTTTAGTTTCAAAACTCGGATTGCGTGGCGCTACACAACAGCAAGTAAAATTCAAACAATCCATACACGATAGACGTTTCGTGGAAAGATTGTCACGGCCGTATTTCTTTACAGATCTTTTCAATTTTTTTTTGTTGAAAAGACGAAGGATAATTCTATGTTTCTATAGTAACACTTTTTCGATTATTTAATTCCATAATGCAAAATTCTACGTATTAAAAGTGACACATTTTGGCTATATTTAACACGATATTTCACTTGATATTGCAATAAATTTGAAAAATGTGTTACTATAGAAACATCGCAAATTTCCTTGCGAAGATATCGGTGTATCATTGAGCACTAAGTGATTGAAACTAAAGTCTGGGGAATTCTTCTATGAAACCTCTGCAAACGCTCATAAATGAACTGTGTGAGATCCCCCTTAACATTATTTTCTGTATACTACTCGTATTTGCGTATGTACCGGGAAAGCGCGCTTTTTCAATGAAAGTATACGAACTCAGAACTTTAGGATTTAATTACAAAAAAAGTATTCACTCAAATGGGATAATGTTTCCGTATGTGATAGAATACACCTTTAACTATACGTCGATACATTTTTATGCATTTCTGTATAATTACGCAAACGTTACAGCGATAAAATGACAGACGCGTTTATTCGCTTATTATAAGATACACTTTAAAAATTCGATAACGTAAAAAGTCCTGGCAGCAAAAATTTACAATTTACGTATGTTAACAACAACTTACCAATTGATACGTTCCAAAAATTTCATTAATATCGGCTCCAGCGATTTTGAGATTTGAGCCTTCAAAGTGAGCGGACTCTACATTTTACTCCGATAGTAGGTTACTGTTAGGTTGTTGATACTATGAGTAAAACTGTAGACTGAGATCGGCATTACAATTGTCACATACAGGGAGATTTAAGAATCTTATGGTATTGGCATGAAAGCATCACTGTTCTCGATTTTATAACATTTGAACGTATGAAAGCTCTCCATCCGTTGGATTCCACACAGCTTCACAGACGCTCAAAAACTTGCTGGCTTGCAAATAAAAAGAAGTGTTCTGATGAGGTTTAGTTAAATATTGATTATTAATTAATTTATAACAATTCTTAAATAGATTGATTTATAACAGATAATAATTATTTATCAAATACAAGCACGAACATCACTAACAATCACTTCGGTGTTGAAGTTGAAACTGCCTTTAAACGCAATTCAATTTGCTTATATA